CCTATTAACACTCAAATATCCAAAGCTCTAATTTCACCTATCTCCAGGCTTCTGTCTCTTATTTCCATCTTGTTTAGCTTTATGCTATCTTTCCTAACCAAAGATCCCGCACTTCATTACCTACTCCCTATCTAGTCCCAATTTCAATAGTGTTCTTTGTTTTGCAAAGATTGAAGTTTATGAATTTTAAATATAAATGTATCTAGCTCATTTTAAAATATCTTTCCTCATTACCTATCTTGTTCTTTGCCTGCCTGAAAACGGACAGTGTTCATTAGTGTATTTATCAAGGCAAAACAAGGAGTATTATAAATCAATAGATTTAGAACAGAGATACTGAGGCTGTAAGTTGTCAGAAAAAGTAAACAAGTAAACAAGCCTAAATAAGTAAATACACATACACAGTGTGAGAGAAAGAGAGAAAGAGAGAGATGGAGATGAAAGCATTAAACAAGCTTTCTATCATATAATTCATAAGTCACCAGCCTGCGGTTTTCCTCTTTGCAGAACGATAGTAGCAGTTCAATTACTAGAAATGGCTTTTAGGAAGAAATGTATGTGAAAATAGCAGGTGGCAGACTACCTACAAGACTCAACATTGTGATATAATTGAAAGTTTCTACCACTGATCACAAAGAGACGTAAAATATCTTAAAATTGTAATGTTTGAGGTAGAATACTTTGCCAATACTTTGTCAATAGTTTTCTTTTTCAATTGATCTTATCAAGCTCAGAAACAACAACTACCCAGTTTTCTAAATTATCCAAATTCACTGGATCAAACTTGTGCTTACTTCTGACTGTAACTAAATACAGTTTTAGAAACTTGCGTATCAGAGAAGTTGAGTGACTTGCTTGTGGTCACACAGCTAGTAAATTTCAGAAGTAGGACCTGAAACCAAATATTCCTAAATTTAAATCTAGCACTGAACTCACTATACCACATTGCCTCTCTCACCAAATTATTACTTTGAGAATGAGTGGAGGTGTAGGTTTTTACGCCCTTGCAGTTATGACTAGCAGCATCATCTCTACTCCAATCTGGCTACAGGTCAGCTTTTGCTATCTTCACAGTAACTTTTTCACAGGGTCCTGTGGCCCAAGAATTCATGACCTAGTGGGCAGCCTACTAGTTTTAAGTCATGCGTATGAGTTGGTCCTCAACTGGCAAAATCAGTCTTTCATGGGTGCCCTAAAGAAAGTCTTCCCAGCTTTGGAGGACTGGGCAGAATTTGCACTATTCTGGCATAACCTTTGAGACCCCAGAGTTTTCTTCAGCTACAGGGACCCAAGAGAGGAGGGATGGCTTTGTGGAACAAATTGATGTGCACCTCCTCTGCATTCCAAAGAATGTTGTCTCTGTCTCTCTTACAACACTTATCATGGGTCACATTGTATTGTAGCTTTTTGTGCATGCCCTTTCTTCCCTAGTGGAAGATAAGATCCATCTTGCTTCTTTTATACCTCAGAGTCTACATGCCATTCAGTAGGTGGCTTTCTCTCTCTCTCCCTACCTCCATATATATATATATATATGCACACACACATACAAATATATAGACATATATACATATGCAAACACATATACACATATTATATGTAACATATATATACATATAATAAATATGTGTTGAATGAATTAATAGCATTGTCATCATCACCTGCATATTGAATTTCCCCTGGCTTCTTCATGAGAGAGTAGGGAGAGAATGGGTAGAGAAAGAATAAAACTATAGCCCCAAAATTCTCAAAATAGTAATTTGGCATTAGAGAGAGTATGTGGTATAGTAGGCACAGTGCTGGGTTTCCTAGTTAGGAAAAAGTGGGTTCAAATCCTGCTTATGAAATTTCCTACCTGGCTTAAAATGGACAAGTCACTCAACTAACCTCTCTGGGTCTCTGACAAGTATGGAAGACTACATTTAGTCATAGTCATTATCTGTTTAATTTGAGGAATTTAGAAGACTAGGTTCACAGAAAAGATTATTTTAAAATAATCCCTTTGTTTTACATGTTGCACAGGTTCCATTTGTATTTGAAAATGTTTGCCCCATTCCAGTTTGTCAAAGTAAATACAGTACAGAGCAAAACAAGACCAAAAAAAAAAAGCTTCTGTGGAACTTTGCTGACAATCTTGTCATGATCCTGTGGGGATTTTTAGAATCCTGGTTTATCTGTTTACCACTTCAGTCAAGTAGCTTCAAGGACAGCTATACTCACATATCAGACTGGAAAGACCAGTTAGTGCTGGAAGCACTTACATTCGTCAGTGCAGTTTTCTAGAATCTGAAGGGAAATACTTTTTGTTCATCCTTGTAAAAGAAGGAATTTTTTTTCTTCTGTTTCTTTTTTTTTTATTGTTTTAATCTTGAAATTTGCTTCTGACATTTCTGCAATGAGACAGACCAGACTGGGAGGAAAAATCAGGCTCTTGTCTCTCTAATTGCTTCTTGCTCTAAATACTTCCTTTCCTCATGTGACCTAATAAAAAGTCCCAGGAGGGGATGTTTTTAGAATTGCAAATTTACTTTCTCACACAGATCTGCTAACTTTCTGAGCAAGTAGAGGCACTGAGGAAATACAGAGCAAATAGGTAAACACAGCCCACTGGAAATTTCATAAGCATAGGGTTGGAGTTCAAGAACTGAGTCCAAACCAACAAAGCAAATGTGCTCAGCTGATGATTTTCCTTTACACTCAGTCTTGGTACTATCAAATAACTCCAGGAGGCAACAGCTTAGGCAGCCGCTTCCATGCTCACTCATAGAACCAACTCTGATGAATTAATTCACTGAGTAACTAATGTTGATTCTTTTTTGTAGTTCAACTGAAAGATGGAATGCCATTCCCAATAATAGTTCAGCAGCTGATCTCTTTAAAACCCCTTGTATGACTTAAGGAACAGAGTTTTCAATTCAAGTCTGACATATTTAGCTGTAGAGTATTGGTGACTTAAAAGTATAATGTCTTCATTTTCCTCTTAAATGGAAAGAAGCCTATTAATTAAAAAGCTTTTTTATGCCTTTTACAATCAGCTTAGCATAAGGTGAGAATTTTGAGAGATTAAAAGTGAGAATTCTTTCTGGTTCTTCAACTTTCACAAATCAGCATGGAGCAATGAATCTCAGATTTCAGTGGAGGGGGAAAAAAAGGCAAAGACATCAGTTACATAGCAACCAAAATGCTTTAATAAAATTTTTATCATTGCTAGTATAGGAGGTTGTCTGCACTAATGAACATGCCACAAAGGGTCTGTTTTCCTTTTCAGCCAGACTCCCTGGGGGCATTTTTGTTAACGAAAGTGAAATTATCTGGGAGTCTGCTACCTGCCAACTTCCAGGTCCGGTCTCTGGGAGTTGTTGAGTGACTGCAATTAGGTTATGGAGTAGATTGTAGTAAAAGGACTTTCATTTAGCTTCATTCATGTTAAAAATTGAACCTTACTAGGATGAAGTTGAATGTGAGCTCTTTATTTAATGATTAAAAGCAAATTTAATTAGCAGTCTGCTAAGTAGCTTCTAAAGATGACCTTTTATGTGGACATTTTATCTGGCTTACACACATATGAACAAACAAATAAATTCTATACCACTAGGCTTATAGCATATAAGTACTTTCCTGCAATAGACATATTTCCCTTCTCTAAAGCATATTTCTAAGAAATCAGAGAAAGAGAAACAGAACCAGTTTTCTCCTTGTAACTTGATTTTCATTAGGGGCAAATCAAATTTCTTTTAGTTATCTGTTACCCAAATATTCAGATGGATCTGTGATCTCATACGTATGCGAAATACCTCCAGTGATGCAGATGGCCACCCATCCTTGCCTGCTAATTTTATGAGAATCTTATCTGGGAACCCCTAAAAGTTCAGACAAGAAAGATCTAGCCAACATGGTGGAGGACTTTGTCTTTTCTCCTGACTTCCTGAGGGTGCCATGGAACCCCCAGCTGTCTACCTGTCATTCTTCACTCTCACCATATGGACAGCCTATCATCTCTTTCTGTCATATAACCCTCTGATGGTATCTTTTACTCCTGTTCTTCACTTTTTTATGTGTTGTATTCCAATACAAGCTATTATGTTACAACAAGATGGCAGCCTACTCCTATCCACCCTGTGCCTTTTCGTAGTCCTGTGGAATACTGCAATACTCCAAGTTTGGCCACCATTAAAATTTTAATCATTTTGGGTAGAAACTTTTCTAGAAGGTATTGCACACTTCTCTGCCTTGATGACATTGGTAATTATTATTAACATTAACCACTGTACTACGATAATATACAGTGTTACACTAAAGGATGAACTGAAGCATATAAGAACTGTCTTTAGGCAAACTGGCAGCTTATAATTATATTCCCTTTTGCAAATAAGCAATACCTGAGATTATTAAGTAGGGTGTAATACAACAGAGCTAGGTAGTACCCTTAGTGAATATCTAGGAACATGAATTTCACTTCAAAATTGTCCTTTCTATCATCTCATTTGAATCCTCCTAAATTTATCTCTAGTTCGAATTAGTGGAAAGGCTGAAAATTTTATTTATGTATTACTGCATTGCTTTTAGTTACAGTTCATATAGTAATTGATATAATGGCTCATAATATCAAATGGTTGATGTTCTGCCTGACCTGCTTTAATGAGTAAATTTTAAAAAAATAGCTAGCATTTAGATAACACTCAAAGGTCTGCAAATCACTTCACAAACATAATTTCATTTTATCCTAACAACTCTCCTTACTCTTTGTGACCATATTAACTTCTGTGGGTTTAGTTATTATCTCTATATGGCAGACTGTGAGATCTATATATCCTCCTAACCTTAGGATAAAACATTATCTCCTCAGTTTGCCGCCTAATGCACTTGAACAATCTGACACTAGCCTTCCTTTTCCAATTTTTAGACACTAGCCTACTCCATAATTCTGAGGCTCTTTACATATGGCTTCCATTTGCTATCTCCATGCCTTTAATGTATTGTCTCCCACCTTTGCATCCTAGAAATCTCAGCATCCTTCGAAGTTCAGCCCAAGTGCCATCTCCTATGTAAATCTTTTCCTAATTACTCCAGTCACTGGTTCCTCCTATTTAAAGGTAAAGATAAATTCTCTTTATTTACTTTGCTTGTATATATTTTGTTTTTACTTATATATCTTTTCCTCTGATAGACAGCAAGCACTTCAAGGTTTTGTCTTCATATACCCAACACCTAGCACAGTGCCTGACACATAGTAGGTACTAAAATATTTGTTGATTATTTGATGTAAGAACAAAAGGCAGCAAGAAAATACATTTGAAATAGTTCTGCCATTTAAGAGCAAGTAACATGGCCTCTACCTTAGTTTCCTCAGCTGTAAAATGATGGTCATAACAGCACCTACTTCTAAGAGTTGTGAGAACCAAGTAAAATAATATCTGTAAGGTGCTTAGCAGAGTTTCTGTCACATGCTAATCCTTTAATAAAAACTTGTCCCGTTTCTTCTTCCCTAAAGGATTAGTATCATTTTGAATGTAATTCCTAAAAGAATATTAAAGCTAAACAGCTAAAACCCAGTACAGCAAGCATACAATTTCTATTAACTAATAAAACAATCATGGCCATTTCAATGTCTTCATTCTTTCAATCACTCACCATTTATTACACATTTAGATACTAAGGTAAATAAGACATAGACCCTGCCCTACAGCACTTTGAAATTTAGCAAGGTCCTGGGGGGGAAAGGAATATGACACACAAAAATGCAAAGTGCTACCCCCAAACTAGAGTACAAAACAGAGCGTCAGAGAGGGAGTAGCATTGTTTGAGATAAAAGGAAATTGATGAGTAAATCACATCTTTCTCAACATCACCTTCCTTCATTATATTCTTTTGCATTTTTTAAACTTTCAACTAAGAAGAATATAAACTATAAGAGTATTTTTAATTCAAAGACTGGAAAACCATGAAAGTTAATTAAGAAGGCTAATGTAGAACTATAAAGTTAATGATTTGACTCATTCTGTAGCAAAGCTGGGAAGAGGATAAAGTAGATATGCAAAGCCATTATGCAAGTCTAGAAATAACTTTACTATTTAGATTAATTTAGCTTGTCCAGACCTGTGCTTTTACTCCTTCTATCAATATAGTCTATATTCTTAAAAAGTTGCATATTTAAATACTTAGAAGAAATTATCATTCCAAATCATATCTAGACTATAGTGGAACTCTTTCCTAGAAATCCACGATAATTATTACATGTCACATTTAGATAATGAAGACCTTTACCTGCATGGGCTGAGTTCCATGGGATATGAATTTCATGTGAAAACCAAATATAGTAACTAGGAAAATTTTTCAGACAGAACTTCCTAGTCAGCAATGGAATGAACAAAATGTATTCAAGAGCTTATAAAGGATTATTTAAGAAGTTGAGGTAAAATGGGGAATTAGCCAAAATTAGATAGATAATTACCTCAACCTTTTGCTTTGGTTAAGTTTGCATTCTGCTCAAAAGCAAGGGGCATACTTTGTGCTGAATCCTCACTACAGAAATCAAAGTGGTTTTCAGAAGCACTATATGCCAATGGCAGTTGATGGTTTTTCTTAGTTATTAACATGAACTTTGTAAATAGAATGTTAAATGCAATACATTGAAAATTCAGTGATTTCATTCACAGAAATACAATATCTACCTCTGCAAATTAGAATCAGAGTCTCAGAGTTAGAGAATACCTCAGTGGCCATCGAATCCAATAATTATCTGAATAAGATTACCTCTTGCAATATATTACACTCAACAGATAGTTGTCCAATCTTTGCTTAAAGAACACCAATGAGAAGGAACTCGCTACTTCTGGATGTAGCCTATTTTGGACAGCTCTATCTAATCCTCCTTTGAACAAGTATTCATTAAACACCTACTATGCACCAAGTACTCTGAGAGATGCTGGGACTATGGAGATAAAAACAAAAGCAGTTTGCTCTCAAGATCATGTTTTAATGGGAAGAAATTTTGTAAATAAAATTATAAAATCTAACTACAAAGTAATGAGGGAGGGGAGTAGTATTGAGTGAAGACCCTGCAATTAGGGGAAATCAGACAAAGCCTCATGTAGAAAGAGGCACTTGAGCTGAGACTTGAAATAAGCTAAGGAGCTTAAGAGTAGAGACTAGGAGGGAATGCATTCCAGACATGGGGCAAAACCAGTGATTAGAACATTTTTCCTTACATTAAGTCTAAATTTTCTTCTTTGCCCCTACTCCTGGATTTTAAAGCCAAACAGAACAAGTAAGCCCCCTCTTGCACATAACAGCCTTTCAAATACTCAAAGACAGTTATCATGCCCAACCCTTATCTTCTCTGAGCTAAGTATTCTTATCCTTTAACTGACCCTCATATATTTTTGTTGTTGGATTTTTTGTTGATTTGTCTGAGTACCCATTATGACCAAAGCACCAGTTTAGCTAGGTGCATTGGAGGATAAGATGATGTTGTTTATACTCACAAAATACAGGGTATTTTTAAAGAACTATCATTTTTTCTGCAGTAACCATTCCCTGTTATTAAATCTTGCAAAAGATGTTAGTTGAGATGCCATTTAGTTTTTCAAATCATTAAGTCAGTAAGCTTTGGATTGGGTTTTTCCTCTATTATTCAATTGAGAGTGATCAAGCATAAGAGAGTATTACTCTTTTCTTTTGTGTCTTTAAAAAAATCCCATTGTTTGAAATCTGAAAAATCTCCAGGTGCTTTTGTTTATTTTGAATGTTAATACAAGGCATTATTAGTTTTCCACCCTTCCTGGATGATTATCAAATGCCAGTTTTTAAAGAATATAAATATGAAGAGATTTAGCCCTGCCACTCTAGAAGACATTAAAGCCACTAAATCTCAATTCATCCCTGACATTTTTCAGGTTTTCTACTTAAAGAGTGGAAAATTATTACCTAAAACAGGCCAGAAGAAAATTAAATGAATATGAGATACATACATTTTATCTGGAATCCTAAAGTGCTAGAAGTATAAGGGAACTTAGAGATCATCAAATCCGATCCTCTCATTTTACAGAGAGGAAACTGAGGTCCAAATCAGTGAAATGACTTTCAGGGTCATAGGGCTAGGCAATGGTTGAGTTGAGATTAGAATTGAAAACTTTGGGATTCCTCTTTCCCTTTCTCACATATCACACTGTCTTGAGAGAATGCATTTGGCCCAAGTAGTCAAAATTATTTTTAGGCAAAAATGTAACAATACATTATACTTCAGCATCTTACAGCCAGTTATGTCAGTACCTGAATCTAAATCATAAAACAAACCATATGTCAAATTGTATTTCAGGAAACTTCAAGGGACTGTCCTAATCCTTTTGCCATGTTATAAATGTATTGTATAAAATACTGCTTGAAATAAATGAGCCATCATTTGGGGCTTGGAAAGATTTTAGATACAGAGATTTTCATTCTAATCTTATTAGATTATACTTCAATCTGAGCATAAACCAGGGTAAGTAGTATTATGTGAACTGGACTGGATGGCCTCTGTGATTATTTTTGTGACCTCATTTTTGTGGAGGGGAAAACAGATAATTAGTGAGATGCAACCTATGCAACCTATTTACATAGATTATTGCTAATTGTCTGAAGGGCACCATTTTATAGGAAATAGGGTACTAGGTTTGGAGTCAAGAAAACTTGGGTTCAAACCTAGCATTTGGAACTTATTAACACTATGACCCTGAACAAGTCACATAAACTTTATGTTACTTCAGGTGACTCTTGAAACTTTAATCATAGGATCATATGTAGATTTAGATCTGGAAAGCACACTAAAGGATCTCTAGTCAAACTACCCATCACTTTACAGGTCAGAAAACCAAGGCCCAGAGAAGTGACTTGCCCAAGGTAACAATGTTAACAACCAGAATTAAGATCTTGTAAAGTTCTTCATAGGATTTCTTTCATTCTTTCCTATAGGTTTTTGCCATATAACCTATAAGTACCATATTTTTAATATGTTGATCATAATCAATTCAAGATAAAATGACCAAATGTCCCATGAAATGATGTATCTTATTGCCTTTGAATGCACAGTGAAATCAATTGCTTTGCTTGCCTTTCCAAGGTGAGTAGGTAAGATGTGTTTCTCTTTAATTCTAACTTTCTTTTGTCTTCTGGTCTCATCACAAGAATTTTTAATATGTCGATTCATTGGTTATTGGACAAAGATTTCTCGAAGTACCAATAATTAATATTTATATACAGTCTAAAAACAGTGATACTTAGTATCCTCTGCCCCTCTCTCTACCATTTCCCCAAAAGTCACAGTTACTTACGTAGTCAGTCACAGCGGTCATTATCTCTGTTGGCAGAAGGAATACCATACACTGTCAGATCCACTGAGTATCTTTAAATGAAGTGAAGTAGCATATATGTTAGGAAATACAGAAACTATCTTTTAAGATAGTGAGCATCTGCAGAACAGGAAGTCTTTGTCATGAATATAGTAATGCTATTTCAGGTTAGTAGAGTCACTTCATAAAGTTGCTGGGAGGAAAGTGCTTTGTAACCAATAGATTCCAATAGAATAGAATTATGAACTATGGCCATGTGGAATTTCTATCCTGGAGAGCTGATATCATGGAAGACACTTCTTACCATATAATTTACCCTCATAAAATTGCAATGATTCTTTTAACCTTGAATGCAGATCTGTTGGCTTGGGGCTGACTTATTCATGTATTTATTCATTTAACAAAGATTAATTAAATACCTGATATATGTCAGAAGTGATAATAGGGAAGTAAAATACATAAACAAAAACATAATCTCTGCCCTACTCAGCTTACAGTCCAGTAGGAAAAATACTATAGGCACATACATACATACATATATACATATACATATATAATACAAAAGAGAACTTAACTATAAGCAAGAATATAAATAAAGTGAAAAGGAGTAAAGTTTGCTATTGACTTAATATGGAGACAATAGGGAAAGCTTCTTAGAGGAAATGGTATTTGATCTGGACTTTGCAGGATAGATATGATTTTATCTCGTAAAGACTAAAGACAAAAGAGCTGAGGAGAACTTTCTGTGGAGACTATTGCACACA